CAATAACAGTAACAACAGCTTTTTGACAAGTTTAAAGTTTCTTTAAAATACATTAAAAATATTAAAAAATAATTTTGACAAAGTGCAAATTAAAATAAAGCTGAATATGCAACTGTATTTGATAAAGTTTTGAACATTTAAAATATTACATGGTAAAAACAGAAGCTGCTCTTCATATGTGACAAACTTTGGTGTTTTTGATGAGTTACTTTCATTTTTGTTTCTACTTTTCATTTAAAATAAGTTTCATTCTCAGCAGGTTTCTAAGTTTCTTCTTCTACAGATTAAAAAAGTTGTTAAACATCTGAGTGGTGCACTACTGCTACTAGTGGTAGGAAAGTGTATTGCACCTTATTCAAACTCATTGCAGTCCCACGGCGCTCTGCGGCCCAAAGTTAAAAACTGTTGTTCTTTTGAGGCCCTCAAGGTGACGCTTGCGGCCCACAATTGGGCCGCGGCCCATAGGTTAAGAATCTCTGTGTTATTCCATATTTGAATAATATGCAATGTCACAGGCACTTTAAAAGAGAGCAAATTAAATTTTATGCACCTAGAAATAAAACAGGTAAAAGCCAGTAGAATGCTGAATGAACCTGATGAATGAGTTTGTATCGATTACTTTGGTCTGAATGTTTGTGACAGCAGAGGTCACCTTGTGTTTGTCTCAGAGGCACAGCAGAAGTCTGGCTTTTTGTTGCCTTTATTGGGCGTCTCCTCCCTCTTCCTGCAGGTGTGGTTTACGGCTACAAGGGTCTGCTGCTGCTGCTGGGCATCTTTCTGGCTTACGAGACCAAATCTGTCTCCACCGAGAAGATCAATGACCATCGAGCCGTGGGGATGGCCATTTACAACGTAGCCGTGAGTCCGAACACAAACTCCATCACACGTCTGGGGGGTGCCGCGGGGGCTGCTGTTTCTGCAGGCAGGAGCACGCAGAATAACAATAAAGCAGAAATAAGTAGGTTTTTATTGCTCCGTAGCACAAAACGAGCAGAATATATCTGCTGGGGTGGGCTTGGTCACTGCCAGGGTGTCCATGATTACTATCCAAGGGCCACTTCCCAGCTCAGTCTAGTAGAAAACATTTAACTGGACCAGTTGCAGAGACTCCACAGCTCATTATCAGCAGGGAAAGTTATGGTTGGAGATAACTCCAGCCTCCCTCGCTGCCTCCGCAGTGGCTTTTCTTTATTTGTCTGGATAATTGCCAGCGCATTAAAACGTTTTCTGACAAACTAAGATACTGATGCTGCTTTAATGATTTCGGGAACAATACAAGAAGCAAAAAAATAAATAAATAAATAATCCCAGCACAAATTGGAGATATTAAAGCGTTTCTAATGGCGTGCCGGGATGCTTTTTCAGTAGAAAGCAGCACTCTGGATACATTTCTGTCCGAATCATAGCACAGCTAACTCACGCTGCTTTATTGTGCCGCAATAAGGCGTTTATCTGCAAGCACATTTGTTAAGGAGAATCAATAAAACAAGTTTTTATTGTGCTGCAGTGTCCTGCTGCTGGAGCACACCTGAGTGCAGCACTTCAGTCTAATTTATGGGGACAAATGTGCACAGTCTGGCCTACATGATGTGTGTGAGTCTGTGTGTGTTCAGGGGGTTGTTGGGCAGGAAAAGGTCTGAATCTGCAGCCGTTTGTCCTGGGGAGGAGGGCAGTAAATGCAGCCGTCTGTCCGCCCGCGGCTGCTGAGACCAAGTGAGTCATCTTAAATGGAGGCAGCAGGTTACACTTTACTCTGAAATACAAGTTGTTCTGTCCTCCACACCCACTTACATTCACCGCTGTTTCCCTGACACCGTGACACCAACGGCTTTGATTTGACTGCAGAAAAACAAAGTGGTTTCTGTCACTCCAGATGAGTTTCTCACGTTTGATTGACGTGGGTAATTTTCTCTGCGTTGTTCAGACGTTTCTCTGTGCTGCAGTCTCACTAACAACAGGTTCCTGCTCCGGCTTCAGAACAATCACGTCTCTGTAGTTTCTGCACGTCGGAACAAGGAAAATAAATAAAAAATGTCCTGGTTTCTGTAGGATCAGTTGTGAATTTCTTAAAAATAAATTGCTGAAAAAGTGAGAATTTGATTCTTTTTCTAAAGATGTTCATAGACCCGTTTAAAGGTAACGTTCTGACGTATTTCTCTTTACTCCCTGCTGTGTTAGTGATGTCACTGCTGATTAAGTACTAACTACGTACAAATACTTTGTTACTGTACTTCAGTATAATTTTTGTGTATCTGTACTTTACTTGAGTAATTATTTTTCAGCCTACTTTTTACTTCTTACATTTTTTAAAAAGACAAGAAGTAGAAAGTTGCTAATTTTATTTCATTTTTACTTGTTTTCATTGCAGCTTATTATTATAAAAAATAAAAACTATCCATATAAACTGAGCCTCCTAGATAGAGTGAATTTAACTGTGGTTGAATGAGAAGTATAAATATATAAAACTCTGATAGTGTATTAGTTTGTACACAAACAAATCATGTCACACTCCAGCAGGACAGAATCATTCAAATAAAAGGACTGTACTTAAGAAGTATTTGTATTTCATGAATTATATTATTACATTTGGCCGCAGCCCTCAGATAGATTTTCATTTTGGGGAAAAGCTTTGTGCAGCCTTGATATATGTATATAAACTGAAACAGCTGGACTAGTGCATCCTAAATTTAACATCCATTCATTCTTTTAATACAACAGTCATTTCTGCAGTTTTTGGGGAGGTCACCTCCTAATAAATGTCCTTACAGAAAATCTAACTGCTCATTTTAAATCTACACTTTGACTTTTAATACTTAAAATATCAGATACTTTAAGACTTTTACTCAAGTAATATTCCTAAAGGAGACTTTAACTTCTACCAAAGTAATTTTTTGATAAGATGCTTGTACTTTTATTCAAGTATCACTTTGTGGTATTTTATATAACACTGAACTAAACACAGAGCTGTATATTAATTATTTAATTACTACACAGGATAATTAAGCTGCAGCAGCAGCTGCTACAGTCAGTGGCACTGTCCACACTTTTTCTGCCATTTCAATAAATTATAAATGTGAGCCATCATATCGAAATGAGGATTAAGTCAAATTTGGTCAAAATGACCTAATTACGTTTTCAGTTTCCTGCTTTAAATACTACATTTTGATACCTGGATCATTCTGACATCATAATTAAATCCATATATGTGACTTAATTTGTCTTGTTGGTTACAATAATACATAAATATTTGGTCTGAATCCTAATTTGATGTCATTTTAATGAGGAATTTTTGATGTCCTTATAAAGAGGAAACCTCAAATTATATTTGAATATTGAGATTTACCAGCTAAAAAGAAACAAACTTTGCTAACTCACAGGTAAAATCTTAAAATTTTAAGGCGTTTTTCCTCATAATCAGGTTTTTTGTGGCTACTTTTCAAAGAAATGCTTCAAAGTGTTGTTTTATGATTATATTTCACAGTTCATTCAACTGATACATTAATGTCTTTTATTTATTATATTTTGACAAAATGCAATTTTTGCAAACGTTTTAATCAAAACACTATATTTGCCTATTTCTCCTTACACTTTTAGACTTAATCCTTGTTTTGATGTGACGGGTCACAAATGAAAACATTCAGCTCCTGTTTCAGCTGTTTGGTTATTTCAGCTATTTATACTTTTGAAGATATTTACTTTTTTTGTTCTCATTAAAAATGAACGGAGTCTTCAACGTCCTTAAAACCTTTCAAAATAACTCAGTCTTTGCTTCATCGAACACTTTGTTCTGGCTCTGATTTGTGATCATTTTAGTTTCCTTCACTTTTGTTTTTGTGATTCAACTTCTTTCCTGCTAATTTAAGCTTTTTATCATTTGGCTGTTTTATGCAATTTAAACACCTTTTCAGCTACATTCAGCTAATATTAGCTAAATTTACCTTTTTGTGATAGTTTAGCTTCTTTCAGCTGCTTCATTTAGCAAATAAATGCTCTTTCTGCTTCTTCGTGATGAATTGAAATTTTTCTAAAGAGAAATAGCTCAATTTATGTACATTTTTTCCTTTCTTGTACAGAAATCTTTCATCCTTCCTGCTGCGTCTTCACAGAAAAAGTAACTTGATTGTTTTAAAGATAATGTTTAAACGTGCTGATGACGACAGAAACCTGTGAATGTGTCGAGGTGTGTCGTTCTGAAGGTGAAACTGTGTGAACCCTGTAATAAATGAGAGCGTGAGCGCCATAACGAGCAGCTTCAGGTTCACAGACCTGTTATTAACAAATAACCGTATCTGTTACCTGTTATTGTTCCAGCAAACCGTAAACGCAGCTTGCACGCTCGTTTTACCGCCTCAACGAGAGGCAAAGCTAATGTTTAACATTTACGCTGCTCACATTTCAGTTTTATGATGGTGTCAATAGTTAATGGTGTCTGAAGGGAGACTGTTTCCTCTCCTCTCAGTTGTGCGCTGCAGACCCTGGTGAGACGCATCACTCATGACTTTTTAATGCTGTTTTCACTCGGGAGCCCCTCTGGAAGCATAAACAGATGGTGCTCGTCCTTTCTTCTGACTTGTGCGTGTGTCTTTGCTCCTGCAGGTGCTGTGCCTGATCACGGCTCCGGTGACCATGATCCTGTCTTCACAGCAGGACGCCTCCTTCGCCTTCGCCTCCTTAGCCATCGTCTTCTCTGCCTACATCACCCTCGTGGTGCTGTTTGTTCCCAAGGTGAGCTGGCTGTGGACTGACATCCTGAAAACCTGCAGCAGGTTAAAGTCTCCTGCCCTCATGTGAAGCAGCTTCACATTATTTCTGTGACATCTTTAAATCTGTGGTAAGAAAACCCCTCTTGGTTCAGGCACAGTGAGACATTTTACACGTCTGGATGAACGGGAGCAGAGATGAGTGCTGCACATCACAAGCAGCAGAAGTTCAAACTTCAAATCACAGCAACATCGTCTCAGTTTGATTTTCAGGCTATTTCTGTGGGCGTTGTGCAGAAACAACGCCGCAGTGAGCGCCGAGCGCCAAACCTGTCACAATAAGTGTTAAAAAAAAGACTTTAAAGTCACTTCAGAGGTGGATGTATTTTTAGACTCTAAAAAACACAACCCTGTCTGATTAGGTGCATTATTCATCTGCTGCAGCGCAGCCTCACACTGTTTTCCTTGTTTACTGACTTCCTGTTGCTGTGGCGGTGCAGATGCGGCGCCTCATCACCCGCGGCGAGTGGCAGTCGGAGCAACAGGACACCCTGAAGACCGGATCGTCCACCAACAACAACGACGAGGAGAAGTCCAGGCAGCTGGAGCGAGAGAACAGAGAGCTGCAGAAGATCATCCAGGAGGTGAAAAACCTTTAAAGTTCTTCTAATTAATCCTAAATGTTACATTAAATTACATCTTTAAACTGTTACCTGCTTTCTTTGTGTCTGTTTTATGCTCATAAATGTCCTTCGCTCCCTTAACAATTTGTCTTTAACTATTCCTCTCACAGCTTTAGATAAACCCAAACAGAAAATATATAAAAATATACGTCTCAGTAGGTTATAGTGTGCGCTGGTGTTTACTAGCAATAAGTGACACCACCACACGCTGTGCTCTTTTATTATATCAGTCTATTTAGCTCCACGGTCATGCTCCTTGTTGTTGCATTAGGCTAAATAGCTAATGCTAACTCTCTGTTGTTGTTATGTTTGGTTAATTAATTCTATGCTAAGTTTGTTACTGCATTAGGCTCATTATCTCTGTGCTAACTCTCCTGTAGTAGTGCAGCTAATTAGATCCATACTAGCGCTCCTGTTGTTATGTTAAGCTAATTAGCTCCATGCTAGCACTCCTGTTCTTGTGTTAAGCTAATTAGCTCCATGCTAACGCTCCTGTTGTTGTGTAGCTAATTAGGTCCACACGAACACTGCTGTTGTTATGTTTGGCTAATTAGCTCCATGCTAATGCTCCTGTTTTTATGTTAGGTCATTTAGCTTCATGCTAAGTTTGTTGTTGCATTAGGCTAATTATCTCTATGCTAACTACTTTTCTGTTGTACAACTAATTAGCTCCATGCTAACTCCTCTGTTGTTTTGTTAAGATAATTAGCTCCACGCTAACTCCTCTGTTTTTTTGTTAAGGTAATTAGCTCCATGCTAACTCTGTTGTTTTGTTAATCTAATTAGCTTCATGCTAACTCCTCTGTTGTTTTATTAAACTAATTAGCTCCATGCCAACTCATCTGTTGTTTTATTAAACTAATTAGCTCCATGCTAACTCTCATGTTATTAAGCTAATTAGCTCCTTGCTAACTCCTCTGCTGTTGTGTTAAGCTAATTAGCTCCATGCTAACTCTCATGGTGTTAGGCTAATTAGCTTCACGCTAATTCCTCCGTTGTTTTGTTAAGCATATTATCTCCATGCTAACTCCTCTGTTCTGTTAAACTAATCAGCTCCATGCTAACTCTCATGTTGTTAAGCTACTTAGCTCCATGCTAACTCCTCTGTTGTTTTGTTAAGCGTATTAGCTCCATGCTAACTCCTCTGTTGTTTTGTTAAACTAATCAGCTCCATGCTAACTCTCACGTTGTTAAGCTAATTAGCTCCATGCTAACACCTCTGATGTTTTGTTAAACTAATTAGCTTCATGCTAACTCCTCTGTTGTTTTGTTAAGCTTATTAGCTCTATGCTAACGCTGTTGTTTTGTTAAGCTAATTAGCTCCATGCTAACTCTGCTGTTGTTAAGCTAATTAGCTCATGCTAACTCCTCTGTTGTGTTGCTAAGCTAATTAGCTCCATGCTAACTCCTCTGTTGTTTTCTTAAGCTAATTATCTCCATGCTAACTCCTCTGTTGTGTTGCTAAGCTAATTAGCTCCATCCTAACTCCTCTGTTGTTTTCTTAAGCTAATTAGCTCCATGCTAACTCCTGTATTGTTGTGTTTGTTCAGAAAGAAGAAAGGGTGTCTGCCCTCCGCAACCAGCTGGCAGAGCGTCAGTCTTTACGTAACCGCCGTCTCCCCTCTGCCGGCCAGAATCAGAACCACAACGTCCTGCCACCTTCATCCCAGCCAGACCCCAAGTCCCTGCTGCCCCCTCCGGGCTACCCGAACCCCACCACGGACAATCACGCCCTGCCGCCCTCCTTCTCTAACTCATCCAGCCTGTATCCAGCTGACAGCAAGATGAGCCGCAACCACTGTCACAACAGCCAGATCCCGCTGCTCTACAAATAGGCTGTAGGTTTGGGGGTCCTGGGTGGGGGGGTTCACAATGCACAAACAGGGACACAAAACACAATGAGACTCTGTGACGTTCACTTGTTTGATGTGATGACACTGTCTGACCTTAGGCTCGGGAGAATCTCATATCAGGCAGGGGGCGGCTACGAAGGAAACCCCGCCCCCTCGTCTCGTCACAGTTTTCATCTGACTGTCAGAAAAACTGAACCAAGACAAAAAGAAGCACATCTGAGACCAGCTGGACACTACGATCAATAATTAGTTTTTTTCCCCGTTCCGTTGTGGAGACAAAGATCTGTAAAGGAAGCGTCCGTGTTCTCGTCTTTGCAGTTGTCGTCTCCACGTTTCGTCGCTCGACTCTGTTGACGAGATTTTTCACAAAAAAACAAGTGGTGGTTATTATCGTTCTGTAAAATTTGTCCCGTTGTTCTTTTATATGTCCACTTTTCAGGAGACTCAGAAAAGGACAAAGAAACTGTATAGTTTTGTTTTGTTTACGTCTAAACAGACTCACAACTTGATGATGTGATTCATCAAACAGACGTAGGTTAAAGGTCAGGAGGCGGAGCTTGTTCGGGAGGAAAAACAACTGAACTTTTACAGATTTATGAAGGTAAATTTTAGCTGATGTATCTTTTAAGATTTGCGTGTTTTATTTTAAGGGATTATTGCAAACTTTTATTTTTACTTTTAAAAAGGTTGTAGAAATAAAGACGGACGTAAAACAAGGTGATAATCTATTTAGTCAGCAGTTAATCTCATGTTCTATTTCATTCATCTGCTCCGTCCCGCAGCTGGTAGAAAACAAACTGATCCCATATTTATCTGTTTATCTGAGCGTGCACTTTAACCTGAACAAACATGTTTTTAGCTCAGGGTGGGAATGAAATAGTCCATCTTTATTAACTGATCTGCTTCAGAAAGTGTAACATATGAGGGCAGAGGTTCTCCTGCACATGTATGCTCATAAACAACATGAACCTGGGGATATTTACAGTCACTATATCTAAATGTTAATATATTTCAGAGTATGTGTAATGCTAATATATGGGTAACATGAATAAAATCATTCTTTTTCCACTTGATAAGTTGTGTTTTCTGACCACCAGGTGTCAGCAAATGTTTCTGACTTCCCAGTCACTTCTCCCGTCAGGCAGAGCGGACGCTTCGGCTTCAGAATGTTGCAAAATCCAGAAGATTAGATGAGGAAAAACAAGTTGTTTTCAGCGAGATGACAGCAGAAAAGTCCGGTGGGAACCGGATCAGCGACACAATCAGAGGGTGTCTGCAGGTCGGTGGGACAAGAGACAAAGTGCTGCCAACTGTGTCCGCTTGTTTATGTAGAGTGTGTTTTTAGATGATGACTGCGTGATGCAAACCAGCTGTGGGGCTGTCCCACACACACACACACACACACACAGACACACACACACACACACACACACACACACACACACACAC